TACCGTGTCCCCAGCATTTACAAACAATTTGAATGTCACTGAAAAAGCTGGAAAATGAAATGTGGGTTTCTGTTAGTTCTAGATAATTCATAATTAATTCTTATTGACTAAACCACTGGGAAGCAGGCATCTTAGCCACATAATATTTAAAGGTAATATTTGGGGAATTAGATGCCTTCAGCAGATTGATGACCTGCTGTTTAATTGGGAAACACTGACTTGGCAAACTGTGGCTCCCACTGATGCAGTTTAAAGGTATTTAATCTGTGGTTTCCGTGTGATTATGTATGTGGAAGTGGATCTTCCTGAAGCTGTGGACATAATATGAGCAATACCTCTTCAGATATTTAGCCTTTTGAGCCTGTAGGAACGAGTGCAAAGACGTTCTGTGGAAATGTGGATCATGCCTGTCAGGCTCCATGGAAAACTGTGAAGCTCCATAGCTTCTGGTGCAGCTTCTACTCACTTAACAAATTGCTCTTGATGACTATGAAAATAGGTCCCCCTTCTCCCCATCCCTGTAGCCTGCCTGGGAATAAAAGTGATTTGAGTTCCTCACAACCCTGAGAAAAGAAATTATTATTAAGATCCAACCTTGGTGTCACTTTGCAGTGTGAACATTCCTGTCTGATCAATCCTGTGCATTCATTTCAAAGTAAGTTTTTAGTCTGAGAAGGGGAGACTGCACATCTGAAACCAGACCCTGAAAGGGCTTAACATCAGCAAAACACACTTGAGGCTTTTGTACTTTCATAGCCAGGGCTTTCTGCTGGAGGCAGAGAGGTGTTTGAGGAGTTCACTTTCCCCTTCACGTGTCCTTGTTGCTCCATGGGAAGACTGCACTGTGACTGACTCCAGCAACAGATGTGATCAGCAGCTGAACCTAATGAATGGGATTGACGTGCAGCCCACCTCTCCCAATGAATTCCATGTAGTCGTCATTGTGTGCTTTGTCTCAGTTCATTATGAGCCTTTAAAACTTGGGGGTATGTATTCCTTTACTCAACTGACTTGTCACTAATTGATATTTATGTGAAACATTGATTAGTCTTTTCCATTAAAAAATAACTGCAACCAAAGTGTGTATTATGTCTCATTTACAAGATGGTCAACAAGAACTGCTGTGGCAATGTCCAGCTTGCCTCTGTCTGGAAGCTGCTACAGGTGTGCTTCCATGCAGATGGGATTCACATGCTTTAGTTCATTCTCCACTGCCTGGAGCTGCACTGAGCTCCAGAGCAGGGAAACTCTGGGAGCTGGCACACTGAGAACACAGAGTGGGAAGCTCCTTCAGCTCCTTGCAATGTGACCCCCTGCACACGCAGCTGGTGTGTCTTGAGTCACCTGGGCTTTGCTCAGCTGTTGGAAGAAACAGACTTGGACAAAATGACCCATTTGCTTCTTAGCACTCTTGAATACTTAGTGAGGATTCTTGGATTTTAGCAGCATTTGATCCTCTTCTTCCATGGCTGAAGAACATCTGTGCAATTGGAAGTGAGTTCTTCTGTCTCCATGGTGTTTGAGCATCAGCCTCCCTGCACGACTGGTTCCTCCACTGAGTATTGTCCAGTATTTAACTGCAGCCTGCACTGCTCATTGTTCATTAGGAGAGTGTTTACAGCTGGGCCTGGCAGTCTTTGAGCCACCATACCTTAAATTTCATGTGGGGATGTGCACACACACCTTTTTTTTAAAGTGGACTGGAAGTTCTTTGTTAGAATGAGTCACCTGCAGAACTCCTGAATGTGTATCCTGAATGTTGAGCTTTCAAAGGAAGGGAAAAGTACTTCAAAATGATCCCAAGACAAGAAGGACAGAGTAGCAGGCAGTGAATGCTATTCGTGGATTCTCAACTGGCTGGAGACCTTCCTTTGAACAAGGTGAGCTATGAGATTGATGCCCTGTACTGAGGAATGTTTCCTTCCCTCCCACACCTCCCTGGAGCAGGCTCCTGTCCTTGTCCTCAGAGCACCCATGGAGTCAGTGGGGCAGCTGTTCCCACAGGGCAGGGAGAGAGGGGGGCAGACAGAGGGGGAAATACCTGTGAGGAACACAGAGCAGGTATTAACCATGCTGGGGAAGTCCCAAAAAGGGCTGGGGTACCCTCTGGTGTCCCTGCACTGGCTGGCATTGAACAGCACAGACCAATACCCACGGAGTGCACAAAGCTCCACTTAAAACATTCCAGTTTCCTATCTAGAATTTATTAAGTGCAGGGGTAACCTTCTGTTAAAGCACACAAAAGGATTTCCCCCCTCCTTTTGAAGTCCCAATTAGATCACAGGAAACAGACCATGAACACAAGATAGTTTTTCTGCCCTAACACATATTTGCCTCCTGTTTTCAGAAGCTGCTTCTGCATTAGGGTGCCCAGAGATTCCCATCCTAAGTAGTGATTGTTCAACAAATTCCTCCAACCCTAAGAGAAGTCACCTGCTGACAGGGAATGGTGTAAGTGGATTTGCCTTTCTGTTCCAAAGACTAACCGGAACCAGCTTCACAAGCCTCAAACCCCTTCCATTACACCTGCTGTCTCCACTCCCTCACTTGGTGCCACAGCAAAGCTGCCTCGGATCTATCAGCAAAGATACCACAACTGGCACCAAAACCCCCTCTTCCAAGACAGTCAAGGTCTCCAATGCTCACATTTATGTAACACTGCATGGGAGGGCTCTAACTTGAGCCAAATTCTGCTTTCAACTTGATTTTACATCCTTTTATTCCTACTGAACCTGGATATATTTTTGGTCACAATTTAAAGTAGCAACTTTATACTGATTTGCAGTAAATTGTGAATGCAGTATGTCATGACACAGAATATTGTAAACACATTCTCTGTATTGTATTGTACAATTCACCTCCCTCACTGCTGCCTCTGTGCTGGTTGTGTTTCATAGCTCAAGCTACAGATTACTCCATATACAAACAGATGATGAACCAAAACTTTTAACAGCTGTAACACAGCTATTTCAGAAAAATGCTCTCAGCTCTGCCCTTGAAGTGAGCAGTTCCAGGAAATGTGAGCACACTGCAGGCCAGATAACATGCTAAGTTGTTCAAGAGTCAGCCTAGCCTTAAGGCTGTGCTAACTACGAACTTGAAAAGGCTTGTTTCTGTATTATCTCCAGTGCATTTGAAGAGGGAAATACATTTGTTAAGCTTCATAGTTTACCCACATCAATCAAGGCAGACAGTTCCTGGGTCACATTTTAGTCCTGAAAAATCATAAGAAAACCTAAGATAGATTGCAGAGTTCCTGACATTTAAAAAGCCACCCCTGCCCCCCATCAACCCCCAAAGCAGTTCTCAATCCTTCATCCAGCGTGGTGAAGAGTGCAGGAACACAAGTCCAACCAATGGTGACCAGGAAACCTGCAGGGGAGGAACTCACTGATGCCAGTGGGGAGAGAAAAAGCTCAGAAGAAAGTGCACCTGTTTTCCTGATGTCCCATGTGACAGTGCTGTGCAGATGAAGCCCACATCACCCCTCTGCAGCCTGGAAGTGGGGGAACAGTTTCTTTGGTGGTACAGCCCTCAAGAAATGCATGCTAAAAAGGAAGTCCAGCTCTCACACCACAATAACAACATGCAGAGCACTATGGAATTGTGGAACATAAGGCTTAACAAAAGCAGCATTGACACAGGGGGTGAGAAAAGGCTGCTTCCTTTATGCCATGTTAAGTGCTGGCATAAAGCAACGAATGTGACTTGGTAGCCAAGCAAAGCAAATTGAGTTCACCTGGGATGGCTCGTTAGCTGGAACACTTCCTCTATAAAAAGCTGGTCTCAGTGGTTATTTGTTACTAATGAGGTTTCTCAGCAAAGTGGCATTTCTTCTTGAGAGAAGGTAAGAGCTACCACCTTCCCTTTACTGCTTTTGTTGGTTTTATTTTGGTGCATGCAATGTATTAAGAGCTGTTTCAGTAGCAAAAACTCAAATGTAAACTTGGTTTGCATTATACTGTGTGCTGACCAGTAAGTTTCCTGTTTTTTCCTTGCTCTGCCTTCTCTGTCTTCAGACCTTTTCAATAAGTTGCCTGTTTAATTATTTAAATGTGTAAGGAATGAGTTGTTACACAGTAACTCTAATTACTGAACTAATTCCCAACTTACTGTTTAATTTATCTGCAAATGATACTTGGTACATGGTTTAAATTTAACACTGTAGGAGAACATGTAGGTTCATCACAGTCTTTGTTCTGCCAATAACCTTTATATGGTACTTCAGACAAAAAGTTTCTTGCTAATTAAAAGTCCTATAATAGGTAACGAGTGCAGTCTTTATACTGTTTGGTTTCTAATTGTTGGCTAAATGAGTTTTGGGATATTGGAGCACCCAAATGTTTTGATAATCCACTGGCAGCTGCTCTGCAACAGCAACTGTATTTCATCCATAAACAACCAATTTGTTAGAACAAAAAATGAAGTCAAGCCCTGCTATGCCTTACTGTAACATCATCAGGAGATCATCAGCCTGCTTGTGCACTTCCCCTCACCCACCAATTCCCCCAGGATTTCATCACACAGATCCTTTAGAATGACTCCATAGGTAGGTCACTGGATGCAGAATGCCTTTGTGGCAGGAAGAGCAAAGGATAGAAATGGGTTTGAGTAAGTACCACCCTTTTTATTCTGATGATGTCCCTTTTGCTAGCTTGTCTTGTGCTGTCAGAATAGCAAGCCCTGCCTGTGCCATGGCTACTGGGGCTGTGCTGCTGGGACTGCAGGGAGTGCTCCATGGACACAGACCCTGCAGGACCCAGCCAACCTGGCAGTGAGCAGGATCAGCTATGGGGGCCCAGCACGCCTGGCAGCTCTGGCCAGGAGACACCGTCTCGGTGGCCACTCTGGTCACTTGCAGGTCCAACAAATATTGCTGCCTCTCCAGCAACTGGCTGGCAGGAAGGGCCAGTCCAGCTACACGGTGTCAAGAGGTTCCTCCCAGCACAGCTTCCATCAGTTTCACACTAATTGTAAATAAAATAGCAAGGGGCACCAGATAGATCTCACAACTGATTTGATTGGTGACTAAGCAAGCGTGTCCTCTGCCCTGCTCACAGGGACTGCCGGGCTAGGGAGCCCTTCATGTGCTCCCAGTTGTTGTACAGGGCGTAGAGGCCGGTCAGCGTCAGGCCTGCGATCCCGCCTCGCGCAATCCCGCGCACTCCGCCTGCGGGAACAAACACAGGGCAGCTCGTTAGTGTTACTGTCAGGCAATGGGCAGTGAACAGCAGCTGCCAAGAAGCTGTTTAAATCCAGAGACCTCTCAATGAACAGTCCTTTCTAGAGTAACTCTCCAGTAAGGGTCCCTGTGCTTTTTGTACCTTCCTCTCAAACCTGCTACCAGGCTCATGGTCACTCGCTCCTGATCCTGACACTAATTCTGCTGGAACAGCTTCCTCTCAAACTGTGTTAGCACCACTGCTTCAGGGAACCACTACAGAGCACTGGAAGCCAAGATGGCTTTTCCCAAGTCCTACTTAATCTATTCTACCTGTCCTTATTACCTTTGTTTTTACAGATAGACATACTCTCCTCCAGTTACAAAATCTCTTCCAGGTTTTCAATTATGATAATTAGCTCTGGGCAGAATGAGAATGAGCAGGAGGGAAATAAGTGAACAAAAAACCAGCTGATATGGGTGTTACACTGGGCTCCAGAGATTCATTAGGGCCATCATGCAAAACCTATCACTGCTTCTGTGTCTTTGGAATTTTAAAAGTTTTCAATTAAAAAGTAGGAAGTATATGAAAGGGATTAGCTGGCAAGTATTTACTATGTTGTACATTGAACAGCTTTCTTTATTCTTTTATTAATAATCAGAATTATCACCTTGCAATGGTAAAAATTGAGTCACACAGGCGATTAAAGTCTTAAGGTGCTGGTGAGCACGTTAGTGTAAGGCAGAAATACAGGGCAAGTTTGGCTACTGCCTGCAGGTAGTGCACCTGGCTGGAGCTGGGAGTCAGGTGCCATCCTGTGTCCATGAGGACTGGGGTGTTCAGGGGCACAAGAAGAGACTTCTGCTGCTTTTACTAAGCAGCAAAACCCTTCTGTGCCTCAGCAGAGCTCCCAGAATGCTCTATAAATGCACAGAGCACCTGGGAGTATGACCCTCAGTGCTAGGAAAACTTCAGAGAGTTTGATTCTGCAATGTTTATCATTGCAGCTGAACCAAGCTAGATAATGTGTACAGTGTATAGAACAAGGCCAGTTTTGCTGACATCAAGATAAAAAACACTGCCTGCTTTATTGGAGGAACTGGCAGGGCAGTTTGGGTTCCTCAAACCTGAAAACAAACATACCTCAGTAATCAGAGAGATTGTGTTTGGGTTTTTTTCGCCTTTCATTATGGGTCATAAAGCTGTCTCACAGAATTGCCTTTAGGCTTTTAGTGAGGCAACAAGCTGTTGGCATCAGCTAGGCTGACACTGTGCTGCAAGGTTAAATGGGTTTCACTGGAGTTGTTAAACCTCCCTGCACTGCCCAGGCACGCAATGAAACCAAGAAGCTGCAGAAGTAGGACTTGGTATTAGAAGCCATGTCTAGCCATAGTTTCTAGAAACTTCATTGCTGTGACAATTTGAGAGGTTTTTCAGGGTATAAGGCTGAGAACTAATTGCTGTAACTGTTGGGAATTCAATAGCTGTAAGAAAAGCCCTACAGAGTATGATTTATGTGCCTAAATCAGCATTTAGGAAAGCAAATGTAGATGTTCTGTGTTTGCTAATTGATCCTGAATTTGTTGCACAAAAAGCTTTTCATAAGAAGGGCTTGCAGCTGGGTACACAAAACTAACCATGTGCAAGCAGTGTCTGGCAAAAAGCCACAGGTGAAATTTAAAGGACACTGTGCAAAACAAGTATTTGAGATAATCTCTAAAGATACTGACTCCTCATTCCTGCTGGGGTAAATGAATACAACATTAGAGCCCAATTTTCTGCTGTTCAAACTGGGGTTCAAGAGATTACAGCAGGAACCCCCAAAGGGGGCTCATGAGCATCAGGTGTACAAGGAAATGTGGAACATCCCCACAGAATGTGATGCACTACAGAACTGTGACTATTCCTGTAGGCTCTTTCCTTACCCCCCAGGTTCAATTCTTCTCCTTTCCCCTTAAAATCCTGTTATTCCTATGCAAGAAAGGTAATGGAAGGATGATGAAACCTGGCTGCAGATTCTGTGAAGTCAGGGCTGTACAAGAAAGGTGACACACTACATTTGGGTCACTGAGCTGCCTTCTAGCATCCATGTATGAGGACTTCAGATGTGCTGCTCCTACTGCAGCAAATATTGGTGTTGTCATGTGCTGAGCCAGCCAGGTAAGGATGGTGGCTCTGAACCCACTGGCAAAAGTCAACCACAGGGCCTAAAGCCATCTGCAGTCCTGCAGACAGCTTAGGGACATTCCTGGAGATGTTTCATGAACAGGGTACTAAACTTGTGCAGTTGGTATAGGTGCATGACTGAGAGAGAAAATATCCAGGAAAACATGCAAGAAGTGTTCCTTTACCAGTGTTCCTATACTATGCTTCTGCTACAAAATGCTGGGGGGGGGGGGGGGGGTTTGGATTTTTTTTGGTAGCAGTTGCTCCTGATTTCTGAACTACCTTTGAGTAAATGTGTGGCAGACTTCAAACAGTAATGCACTTTAGAACACAGCCCTGCTGCTGGGCAGAAAATCTTAGGGCCTCTGAGAATATGAACTTGTTAACAAAAATGAAAAAGAAACTCTCCACTCCCATCCCAGCTGTGTTTGCATGATAGAACACGTTCCCACCCCTCCTCTGCAATCACTCTGTGCAAGCCTTTGATACCGAGTCTGCCCTGACAAGCCCTGCTGAAACATGGCCCTGAGCCCCTAATCTTGCATGTCCCAGTAAGATAAGGGTTCCAGCTGACAGACACTTCTGGAAGCAGGTATTTAGAGATCAGGCACCTTGCACAAGAGTTGAGAACTGCTATGGGTTTCCAAAGGTACATCTGATGCTCCCTAAATGGGAAATTAGTTCTCTGCCTTCAGCTGCTGCACTCTTTCACCTCCAAGTATTGTCCCTCCTCTATGGATTTCAATAGGTTCCAGCTTACACTGTGCTATGGCACACAGCATTCCAACAGCACAGCTCTGCATTTCAGCACTGCAGGAGCCACTCCTAACACTGAGCTGCACCTGTCCAGTCAGTAAAACCATGAGGGAACCATGGTTAGAACCATTAGAACCTTACTGTCTCTATTTTCAGAATGTTACTCCAATGTCCTGTCCTGGGATAGTTCCTGGAATGTTTAAAGCAAGAACCATCCAATGGCAAGCATTACAAATACCTTCACCAAAACCTCAGACCCACTTATGCCAGACTAATCACAATCTTTAAATTGTGATTAGTTTTCCATCTTTTAATCTCTCTTGCATACTCTGAATGGAAACAGCTTCTCTTCCTGCCAGGCCTTCAGGAACAAAAATAATTTTAAGTGGTTTAAAGGGCTCAACTCAAGTGTCCAAGGCAATCTCAGTTTTGCTCCAAATTCAAGCTCAGTAATGAGACCATCTGAACTATCAAGCAGTCATTTGCTTGAACATCTGTGGGTGGCCTGATGTCATTAGAAAGTATCAAGAGTTTCCTCCTGATGCTCCATGGGGTTCATTTAATGAAATCTTGTAAGTAGTGGGGAGGTCTGTGGATACAGAAATTACTGAGGAAACTGATAAAGTTCTATTTGGAAGCAAGATATATTCCAGAAAAGCATCTTCCATTTTCATATTGCTGCAGCTAAGGCAGTATTGTGCTTAGAATACAGAAACAACAAAGCTTGAAAGAGGGAACATTTCCTGTAGTTACAGTGGTATGAAGGCTAAATTAGAAAAAACAGTAGGAATCTACAATTTAACTTACTGGTTTGGAAGTGCTAGAGCTGTTGCAATTCCTTTGCAAACATGATTAAAATTTGCTGTGTTCTCACTGACTGAAAGCAGCAGCAGCTGACTGACAGGAGGCTACTTCAGCTACTGTAAATGAAAGGCACCTCAAACTCTGCAGATCCCTGCAGCTCTGAGTCCACTGCTCCTGGCTACCAGGGCTGGGCAGCACTGCTCTCAGTGGCCACACACACTCTTAGACATCAGTCCTCAAGAACTAAGAATGCCTCTACAAGCTGTTGCTTGTAGTGCTGCTTGTACATTGTCCTAACCTCTTCCTTATTTCAGATTTTAAAAAAATCCTTTCTCTAAACATTGTTTGATTGATAATCCTATAGACATGTTATGTTAAAAGGGGTTCTTAAATTTCCAAAATGTCTCACAGCCCTTAAGGGATGACAAGCAAGTTCTTAACTTTTTCCCAAATACTGCAGAAAAGAAAGATATCCCAGACTGTACCTACAGCAGTCCCCAAAAAGCTCTTCCCCCTCTCCAGGCAAGAGAAATGAGAAAATAGCCCTGTCTAGCCCAAAGAAAAACATGGACTGGGCTCAGAGAACAGGCTTTTTATAGCTCAAGAAGCTGTCAGCTAACACAGCTGCCCTTATCTGCCCACAGGATGTCACAAAACTGATCTTTAGCTCCCACCAGATCCTACTGCTGGCAATAAACCATTCAGCCCTTCCTAATTCATAACATATTGGCTTTTCAGGGTTGTGTTCTGAGGCCTTAAAATGACAACTGCTACCTTCAGCTATTGCTGGCATGCAGTTCCTGTCTTTCCAGACACACCAAATTATGTAACATCTATTGTTCCAATGGCATGAGATGCTGTAGCTAGGATTGGGCCCTACTGCACAAAAGTAAATTTAGTTTCTCCAAAGAATTAGTTCACTTTTGTTGCTGTTACCCTTAAACTCAAGAGAGGAAAAAAAATTATCCAAGAAAAAGAACATCTACAACCTGTGTAACCCTCAGATAAGAGGCAAAGGTTGGTTAACTTTTTTGCTTACTGAAGTCTGTCAGGAATTCCAGTGAGAAATTAATTGCTGTCACAGTGGGTCAGGCCAAAGTCCCAGCTAGTTCATCTTTTCCTGAGTGATCAATCTGCATGCCTGGGGAGGAGTGCAGGAACCACAGCCAGCTGCACCTTTGTGACAACTGGAGCCATGCATTTTCATGGTGAGAGGGTGTAACAGTGACATAGTGCACAGTGACAATCATTTTTGTTTGGTGGTTTGCTGCTTTTATGACTAATACAATGATAAGAAAACCAAATAAAGATGGTCAGTTTAGAAAAGAGGTTGAAAGCACATGAAAGGAGGCTGAACATTTGCTTTAAGATATGTTTGTAACATATATCAGAAAAAACATGGCATAACAGATACTAATTTCTACACTTGCTTAAAATTAAAGAATAAATAGTATCTTATTAAATGGAAAAGCCATCCTTGTGGACTTAGAATATCAGACCCCCTTTTAACAAAACTTGAATTGACTGAGTTGCTGTAACATTTCTATTGCATATGCCACTGGCAGAGGAAACCAAAGGGTTTTCTTCTGTTACCCAAACTGAATGTTCTGGGTAGAAGTTTAGTGGTGAGCTCAAAAAATTGCTCCCATGAAGTTCTAAGACTGGTGTAACAAATTAATGTGTACTCTTATTGCTGCATTTGGGCTAAAATCTAGTCAGGAATTGTGGCATTAAATTTAAACAAATGTGAAAGCTGGAGATCACTTTGGTCAGATGAATGAAGCAGAAGTTGTTTCCAAACTCCTCACATCAGTTGTCCATTCCCACCCCAGAGGTGTCTTGTGACCTAAGCCATGCAGAGATGGAGCCCAGCCCTCACCTGCTGTCACTGGGGACTGAACTGCCTCAGTCACTGCAGGGGGAGTCTCAGTGAGGGATGGCACTGCCTCTGAATGCAGGGAGGGCTGGATTGCCACTGTCCTCACTTGCAGAGCTTTCAAACCTCTCATCTTCTCCCACACAAGCTGTGTCAAATAGCTTTGCTTGCACAAAAGTGCTCACAATCAATGGCTTCAGAACGTGCAGGTTCTGTTTGACTGCTGCCATTTTGGTAATGATTAACACTTCTACAAGGACAAATTGTGAAAACTGGGACCAGTTTGGGGCAAATCTCAGCCTTCACAAAGTCTTCCCAACTGTTTTTTTTTTTTCCTGTCCACTCATCAGACGCTTAATCATTGGTTTCAGAGATTCAGTCTAGGTTTTGCAGTGTTCACAGGAGTGTATTTCAGTGCAGAACAGATTCTGATGTGATTCCTCCATCAGTGCTGTGGTAGAGCATTAAGTTATAGTAAAAGGCCTGACATACATTTTCCCATTTCTTCCTAAGTCTGTTCCTGATCTCTTTACAAAGCAGGAATGATGGAAGTGGGATATCTGAGTCTTTGAAGAGCACTACCTGCAACTCTGTATCCAACCCTTGGGGACTACAGAGCAGCCTTAATTTGCAGTGGCATGTTTGTGTGAGCTTCTATCTGACAATGAAATATGGAGATTTATAACTCAGAGTCCTTGACAGCTTTTACATTTTCCTTTTCTTAATGCCAACACATCATGGCATTCCATGTAGTACAGGTAATTATTACAGTCTTGATGTGTCAGATGTGTGCTGATCTTTTGCATGGTTTAAATATGGTTTAAATATTCCAGGTTTTAAGGTAAGTATGTACACTGATGCAGTGTAAAGGCAGAACTTGTAAGTTTTACCATACAGAATAAGAAAAGGTGCTCTGGCATAGGAGAGGCAGCAGTTTCTCTGCACTATGGTTCATAGGCACAACACACACTTGAAATACAATATTGTAATGAATAGAGATTTACTGACTTCATTTGCCTTTATAAGGACTGCCATTAGCTCTGTAGATCTTGTGTTACAAAACAAATGTCCCACTGTGCTCTGGTAATAAAAACCTTAGTAGTGTCAGATGACTGTGCATGTGACTGGAGTAGATATCTCTGGTTGCACTGTGCCAAAACAATATTACCCATAATGCCAGCTCTATACTTCTGCAAGGTAAGGGGGATGCTTCTGCTCAAGTATTAGATGACAATTCTCCTCATTAATAAACTCCTACAGAAAATATTAGGCTTCTATATGCTACCCTTTCCAGCTGCTCTTGGTAATGTGTCATATCACTCATGAAATCCCAAGGAAGAAATGGATTACAGGAGAGCAATGTGCTCGTGCAAAGTTAAGAGTCTCATATTCATAAAGGCTGTTCCAGCCGATTATTTGTGGCTTCAGGTAGTCTAAGCCATCAGGAAAATAGAGTTACTCAAAGTGTTTTACCCTAAAAAAAGAAAAAAGCCTTCAGGAACACTGTTCAGACACTGAGGCCCAGTTAGATATGCAAAAGTACATAGGTCAGTTCTTGCATTATCTCCTCCATAAAATGCACGTGAGTCATGCAGCCAAACATTTGCTGAGTAACTTAAAACATAAAACTTTTTTCCATGTGCTAATGTCAACCTGTGGTACCCAGGAGTCCTCTAAAACAGATACTTCCAACTGTTAAGCTTGGAACATGTGTTGGCAGCCATTTTGCTCATGAAGGTCAGAGCCTTTCTCCTGCAAAAATCCAGTTTGCATCAGCAGTCCCACCTTAAATCCATGCTGCTGTCAAATAACCTTTTTTGTTGGTTTTGACCACTATGCAAAGACTAGAATCCTACCCCAAGACAACAGTTTATGAAAACCTGAGTAATAAGTTCATAAATACATCAATTTCTCTGTGTGTAGGGTTTCTGCAGCTCCAGGTACCACTATCATGTGAATTACTGTCACATGGATCACTTATAGTAAGTTTGATCTTCATGCAATCAATCTCTGTGTTCTGTGTTTTCCTTCCCTGTCCCCATTCATTTTGGAAGGTAGTTCCACTTGCCTGCATCCACTCATGGACTTGAGAAACAACTACATTTATTCCTGCTAGTGCTGAAAGCATGGCTAGGAATGATGTGGGTATGTATTTCATACAACCTCACCATATATCTGAGGAAGTAAGTGACTGTTTGTTCAGTATATATGTACAACAGTCACAATTTGACTCTCATGGTTACTGTCCGTCCTGTGCAGTTGCAAAGAATCAAATTTAATTCAGCTGGATTTTTTTTTTTTAGTGCAAGTTTTCTTTAGGTAGCCTTAGGTGGGGAAAAAGCATTGTGGGTTAGGGGACACTGAGCTAACAGCTGTTTTTACACTGTCAATTTTGAGAGCAGGACAGTATTTAGTAAAAGTAATGAGTATCCTAATAACTAGGATAAGCACAAGAGAAGGAAAAGGAGAAATATTTTGCTACTCTACCAGTGCTTTTGTACAGCATTCCTGTCAAGGTCCCAGCAGCTATGGTGTTCAGGTCATCCTCTGCACCTCGTGTCTTTTCAATGATGACTCCAAATGCACTGTAAAGTAGAGCTGAGGGAAAAAAAAAGATTAAAAAACCTTCCATGGTCTGAGGCCCAAAGCTTAGAATCCAGGCTTGGTGTAGCTATTTAGACTATGCTTCTGAAGAACAAATTTTCTGCTTACTTGAAGGGAATCCTCTGTAAAATCCCATCTTTGGTGTTTCTTTTCCAAATCTCTTCCTGATAGCTATTCCTTCTTTCTTGAGCTACAGTTTGGTTATAAAGTAGCATTCTTCATGACAATATGTGCTATAAAGCACTGACTGAAGTTTAAGCTTATTTTGCTAGTTCAAATTTGTTTGAAAATTCAGTGTTTAAATTTGTACTGGCTGTTTCATTCTGTCTTCTGTGGATGACATGAAACCCAGCACTTTCTAGGTAGAGAAAATTGCTGTCCATGTGTGACAGTGATGAAATGTGAGTTAAGTACAGCATTCAGATCATGCTACCAAGAGCTGCAGTATAATGAGCTTTGTTTCTTTTAAAAATGACTATTAGAATGGTTGGGATTTGACATTTACAGCTGTTTCACCTCTGCTTGTGCATGAAATCTTTATCCCTAGAGGGCCTTTTCTTTGGGATAACTTTAGGGACTGTCCTGGAAAGGACTGAAAAGAGAAATGCATGGGCTTTTTAGCATGGATGCATTTATCATTCATACATTTTGATGAAAGGAAAAGCCCACTCCTCATCCTCACCCCTCATGATACACTCATATTTCATTCTGGCAAAGAATAGTAGAGTATGTCACCATTTTGAAGTGACAAAGACAATACCATTTAATTTGTTCCTTGCCCTCCAAGAATTTGAAATCTTTCCTTCTGCTAAAAGGCAGTAAATCCTTCATAAGCAACCACAATAATGTCAATGAGTTAACAGCAGCATCATTCTCCACTCAGCACAGGCAAGGGGATTTCAGTTTGTCTTAGCAGCAAGCAGATTAGCAATGAGGGAAGGAAAAGCTGAAGTCAACATAATTTTTTTAAACAGTTCCACACAGATGTTGCCTCTATGATGACTGACAATTTTTGTCATTCTGTTCCTGAAGAAAAAGAATCTCTGAGGTACAGAAAGGCTGCACAAGGTGAACTAAGATGCAAAAATAATTCAGTTCCTTGAAAGGAATTTCTCTGGTAGCTAGGACAAGAAAGAGGTCTACCAGAATCCCAAATATAAAGTTCTGCTTAAGTCTGTAATTTTGGAGGCCATATTTTGTAAGAAAAATAACAATTTGTTACTGGAATGCACAAACATTTTCTTGAGTAATCTTTCTTCAAACACAGCTGGAAAAACCTGTTAATGTGTCACTCAAATGAAACCTTGAACTGCAGTGTGCCTGCACCTTAGTTCTCAGACATGTTTTTATTAGACTTGGAACAAAAAAAAGAAAAAAAATCCAAACAGAAAATGGCCCATAAAATTCAGCAGGCAGCATATGCATTGCTTATAGAAAAAATGACTTTCTTGCTGTAGCTCAGAATCTTCCCTCTAACTGTGCCCTCTATACAATGTCTCAAAAGTGAATGCCTCAATTAAATGGCAGCTAATTTGCTCTTCAGAAATAAGACTGAAATAAAATGTCATCCATGCAACTTAGCCTATACTTTGCTGCATTTCTCAAAAGTCAAACAGATGTAGACTGGGTTGTAACATAATGTAGCCTCTGATTTAAATATTGCTAACTCCAACTACAACTTTGTAGGACAAGTTCCATCATTATTTTTCTTCAAAATAGTTGAATCAATTTTAGATGTCTCCTTTTAAATATTCTGCATCAGTTTTCATTTTGAGAGGGGATTGTAATTTCTAGGCCATTAGTTATTTCACTGACATTTATGAAATAATCTTGTTTTTCTGAGGCAGCTGATGTGATTTTATTTCACAGCCCCCTCCCACCCAAATCTCAGTTCATACAAGTTTTTTCCTTATACATCAGGCTACTGGTCATTTTCTTTTCTCTTTCTTTCTAACCCAGATTAGTTATAAGCAGTATTTAGGTTTAGAGTCAGTGTCCCACATGTGATTTTCCTTGCTAATGTACCATCATTTAAACCTTTGTACTGACTATCACATTTCTTCCCCACATAAACATTTTTCTGACTTCAACAAGAAACAAACATTAGGCAATTGATCACATGACTAAAGAGTCTCAATGTAGGTTATTAAGTTATTTCAGAAATATTAAATTCTGTTTTTTGATTTAAGTTGTAATTTAATTGGAATTTATTAACACAAACATTATCGGCAATTCCTACTTATTTCTGATGTAGCTAGAATTTTAATACAGTAAAAAAAAAATAATGTGTATAATACAGTAAAAAATTTGGGTTTAAATTAAAGGCTTTTGGCTCCTTACGCTGCAAATCCTATTTCAGCCTTTAATTTCCATTTTCATGTCTACTGAAATACCCTCAAGCCCCCAAAGAAAAAAACCTGCACTTTTTCCTGATGGATTTAATAATGAAAATTTAGAAAACACTCTTATTCAGATAATACACAAATACACTTTCCCACAATTACAGCTTCAAGTTGCTTTCCCAATGAAGGAATGACTTTACTTACCCAGTGATCCCAGAGTGTTAGCCCATAATGCTCCTTGCCTTGTCACCATATTTAGAATTCTGTAAAGGAGTTAAAGAGGTATGAGAACCTTTAGCACTCTGTTCACATCAAGGCAGTGTTTATGACAGTAGGGCTTGTGTGTTTACACTATATATGTGGTTGACAATACTGCAATGAAGAACTAAAAGCTTTTGAAAGCAAATATTCAGTCTTGTCAAGTCTTAAGAAAATCTTTCTCTCTTGACCCTCCCCAAGACTCAAGTCTCTTCCCTTCAGATGTCCTTCTAACCCAAGTTGTCCTTCCTTCCACGGTGACCCCACACAGCTCCAGGAATAACTGACACACTTATGCAGACTTAGCTGGGTAAAAGGTCTCCAAGAAAGCCTCAGTGTTCCCTACATGGAGCACATGGCAGGGAGTGTGGGGATGCCTGAGCAAATGGTGTGGGCAAAAAAGCAAGTCTGGAGTGCAGTAAGTCAGGAAGGGAAGATTCAGTGCCTCCCAATCCCATCTGTGCACCCAGCAGAAGGCCAAGAGGTGTCTGTGTGTCTGCTCTGTGTGTAGGCTTCCAGACTAGCACCAAAGAGGAAAAGAGAACCCTTAGTGCGCTCTCAGAGAAGCACAGTACCACTCCTTGCTGGCACCAGCTGTCTCCAGAACGGTGACAACAGCAGCCAGAAGAAATGACTGATCTTTATCTCCCAGCAGTGTAACACTGTCACAGGCATGGTATTGCTCTGGACAGCTGACTACCACTGGAACTGAAGTTTAAATTCATGTCTGACACTTTAATTGCTTTATGTTCCTTCTGATTTAATTTTCTATTGTTTTTCCTTTTTTTATCATTTTAATTAGGACAGAGGTCATTACTGAATATACTTAGGCAATGAACTAAGCAATAATGGAACATTTCATTTTGAAACAAGAGGGAAAAAAAATCTAAGAAGCCAGGCAATTGATAATCTCGCCTTAATTACAACCCCCACCTTTCAATTTTATATTCATTCTGAATTGATAAGAGAATCAGTAATTCTAACAACCATGGTCTACTGTGAGGTATTTGATGACAAGTGAATAACAGCAAAATTAAATTTCATTAAGAAATAAATCTGTGTACATGAAGGATAAATTTGGAAGAAATCTAGCTAAGTAAGTCTGTTGTCTGCACCTGATGAGGGAAAACCAGACCCTAATGCACTGTTGGGAGGTGATGACCTTCAGCAGACCTTTGCCTTGCAGAGCCAGCTAAGAGCAGTGTGTGCACTGACTGCCACCTCCTGGGCTTGACCTGCCAAAGTTTGTGCTTAACATCATGGCTTTCTCCAACTCTGCTCATTCCAAACCCTAAAATACAATTCTGTTAATCCAGAGCATTATGAATGAGTCATAATTATAGTGGTGAATATTTTGATAAAGAAAGGGATGAATATAGAAACAATTTAAAAAGAAGCAGAGCCAATAGAAACTGTACCAGGAAATATGAAATTATTCTTCTAAAACTTCCTTGTTCCAAAGTATTCTGGGAGTGAGAATTTCCCATGCTTTCCCTCGGTTATTCTGTTCTGGTTTCCAATGTCTCTCACTGAGCTTTTCCTATAGCTATGTCTAAGCTGCCATTATTTTCAGAAGAGGCATCCTGTAGAAACAAATGTTCCTGTCTTTGCTATGTTCTTTTGAACAATCAGGTAATGTGAAAACACAGCAATGCCATGGGTGCTCCTGGATCCATAACCCAGAGCAGCTCCCCCTGCAATGCCTGCTCAGCAGCACACACCAATGTCAGCCCTAATGCAAATCCAGGCAGGCTCAGCTCTGCATTTGAATCTTTTCCTGCTTGTGAAATCTTGGAAAGAAGGGAGACTTGTGCTCAGATAAATTACACCAAAAAATAGCTGCAAGTAAACACTACTGCTTCTGGGAATGCTTCTACATATAAAAACTGCTTTGACTTTGAAGTAGATTTTTAGTAAACATCAAAGTAGTAATTATTTCTCAAATATTTAAGGTAAGTCACAGGACATGCTGATTGGGACTAAACGAAAAGCAAAAAGGTTGAACTGAACATCATTGTAACTAAAAACATGTAATAACTTGATCAAGACAAATACTGACTCCCATTTGTCCCCACTAAAGAAAAAAACCCAAAACATTTATTTTTGCAGGATATTCAGATCTAACCTTGTATAAATTGGAAGAAGCAATTCTGTCACTAAGAAGTACATTTTTTTTTTAGATGGAACACTTACTGTACATTTCTAGGTTTTGACCATGCCATATTCTGTGTCTCCTTCAAGCCAAGTCTCAAACCATTCAGTGCACCAAATGCTGCCCCTAGTTGGAATAATATCAGTTATTACTTTTTAAGAAGAATAACAATACTAGAAGCAAATACTGAGACTAGAATTCAGTGTATAAACTAAAATGGAGTATCTCTTTGCTTTAGAACAGACAATGTCTTGCAGAACAAGACATTTCCAATCTCATACATCACTGTAGTGCACAGGTGTTAATTGGAGAGCTGGGAAAAGTGGAAACCACAACCACCTACCTGTCATACAACATCCTCCAATGGTAAAAAAGGCCAGCTCAAATCTGCCTCGAGTTTTGTTGGCTCCTGTGGGCAAGATAAACTCATCTGTATCCTGGGGGAAAACAAAAACAAATACTTTTGTATTTTCCAAGTCCAGTTCAAAATGTAAGCCATATTAATTTTTTTCTTCAATCCATGCCATAAACTAAGGATGGATGAGTATTTCTGGAAAATTCTTGCCCACAGTAGCAGAGATGTAATACACCATGTGGATAGAGTACTAAGCATGAAAAAGGCCTGTAAAAAGTTCAATTGACTAAGTGCTTTTTTTCTCCCTAGCTGTGCTAACTTTTTATAAATTACATCAGTCATCCAAGGAACTCATACTGTGTGGGTTGTTGGTTGTTTTTGTTTTTAATGACTATTTGCTTAATTACATCTTGCAGCAGGCAACACGAGCCTTCTAAAAACATTCCTGTTGTCTGATTACATAGCACTGTTTCCTCACTGAGCAGCCCAGTCTTACAATAATGCATTAATTAAGTTTCCCACTACTTTGATACTAAACAAAAACTGCCTTTTTATGAAAAGAAGTATTCCTTGCACTAAGTGACATATTTAAGGATGTGAAAAATGCAAGGAATACACTCAAAACTAATGATGATCAGGCTTGAAATATGTGAGGTTGGGTAATTTTTCACTTGTCCATCTTTCTCCCACAGGGACATGCTTGTATTCTTGCAAACCAGTGGCCTAAAAAGCTACAGAAATGGCCTGGAGAGATTGGCACATGTGTAGAAATAAGGTGTGCCAAGGCACTTCCTCAGTAGCAGACACTGAAGATGCCTGTTGTAGGGAGGGTGCTAAAGCAGCAGATCTCTTTGAAGCTTCTGTGCTTTCTAGCCACAGTTTTATCCACCCCTGCTTAACTGATGCATGGTTCCAACAGCTGCAGGCTCAAGGAAATGCATTCTAAGGGGTTTTACTGGCCCACTCTTGACTGAATGTGAATGGCAATACAGAAAAAATAGCTCCTAAAATTGTCAATAGTGTTATCAATAAAATGAACCTACAATATGGTTTCTCTCTTCCTTGTAACTAGACAGCTGGAGAAATTCAGTGGTTACACAAGTTAGCAGTTTCTAGCAGTTTTCACTACTGTCCCAAAAGTCAAGATGAAGCAATCCTTGTCCATGTAACATCTAAGTTTCCAGAGGCAACCTCCAGAGCCCATCCTCTAGGCTTCTGCCAAAGGCTGAGACACACATTTATAACACCTGTTACCTGCTGCAGGCAAGACAGCATTGCAGAAACCTCTTGTTCTGTGCCTGCACTCATGGACCAACCAAAAATGTGGGGTTTAAGGTAACGAGTACCAGTGTACCATTGGTTATTATGGGAAGACCTCTTATACTCTGAAATATTGGCTATGTCTTTTTCCTTCAGTATTTAGAGCCTAAGGAACCTGTGGAGACTGTTTAGTGCAACCCCCATTGCTAAAAGAAAGGTCAGTCAGTGCTGGGCACTCAGAGTCATTCCCACACCTTGTGATTCTCTAAGGAAGAGACCTCACAGCTTGCATGGGCAACTTGTTCAGGTACAGAAAAATGGAATTCCCTTTTATTTCAATGCAGTTTGCTCTTACTTCAACACACTAGAGCTAAACATGAAGGGCAGGGAAGTGCTACAACACAGACTGCAGCCTCTAGTGTTACATCAATAAGTATTTTTAGAAGTGTTTCGTGGCACTAATGCCAACACCTTTGCATTTAAAGCAAACATCTCTGTTTCTAAAAATCTCTTAGTATGCACTTTGTTCCAAAATCCCTGCTATACCATTTTTAACACCAACATATTCTCAGAAAACCTACTAACTGAACAAAACCACTTTAGAGAGTGTTTTTGGAGAAAGAAGCTGAGATTATTTACACTTTCTGACCACTCAACAGCAGCAGCCACAGTACAGAATCCACTCCCACCAGAGACACAGCCGTGGTGTTCTATCCTTCTGAGAATGCTACATTGTAACCCACACTACAACAGCTTCTAGGCCCCAGAACCGCCTGCACAGCTTCCACTTCCAAAGAAACAGTGACCCAGGGTGCCGTGGCACCAGGCACAGAGCTTAGCAGGCACCTGCTGACCTTTAACTGCTCATTCTAGAAAGCATCATGTTCTCAGATAATATCAGCCATGTATGTAGAAAAACACTAACTAAATAAAATTATTGACATGCATCCTAGTTAGATTAACGTTTTTAACTACAGTTAATATTTATGAAAATGGAAATCATTACTTGATTTAAAATACTTTTTCCCTTATGATAGTCTCATTTTACATCAACTGATGTTAAGATGTACAAGCATGACAGCTACATTATTCTATAGAATAAACCAGGAAATTTTACTTCATGATGGTCTCCCTTCAGCTGGGTAAAGACACAAAGACAGTGATGCGAAATGTGCAACTGCTGTGATGGCAAAGCCTGCTATCAGATCTGGAGCTTGGCTGAACACCTCAGTAAACTGATGGAACTCGTCACAGTTCAGAAAACTCATCCATGAAAATAGGGGAGAGATTCTGGCTGCAATTACTGACTGAAGGGGCTCAGTGGAGGTGTGAGCAGTGCCAGAACTTGTGTGAGGTGCTGTTGGGCTCTCTGCCTCAAGGCAGGGAGGGAGATCTCTTTGCAAGAGCAGCAGGCTTGCATTGACACAAAAGCCCTACCTATCCTCTGCATCATCAGTGCTCATTTTGTTCTAGACGTCACATCACTTCAAGATTTATTAAGGACAATACTGAAAAAAATTGTTGCTTTCCGCTGCTCTTCAGTTCAAGGCTTCAGTGCACAGTGCCCAGCACCTGGGGAGTGCAGACACTGAGATCGAGTTCAACACGATAAATGCACGCCACTTTCTCACCTGCACTAGGTACTTGGGGTCCAAGTTTAAATACGGTGACAAAGGGCTCATCCCAGTTACTAAAAGGAGAAAACACAGAACATTTTAACACCAACAATTCACATCCTGTAAGGCAAAACCGGACAGCTCTCGTGCGTGGCAGGAGGGGACACTGTGCCGTTAAGCTGCCCGACTCCCTCAGAGGCGGCACCGGCCGCAGCTGCCCCGTTCCCCTTTCCCTTTCCGTGCAGCGAGCGGCCGGGGCGAGGCGATCGCGCTGTCCCTGTGACCGGCGCCCATCGCGGTGTCCCTGTGACCGGCGCCCGTCGCGACACGCGGCCCCCTCCCGAGGCCTGGCAGCTCCGCGCCCACCCCGGGAGGTGCGGGCGGTCGGGAGCGGCCCCCGCGGCCGGGCGGCGGCGGAGCCCTCAGGGCCGCGTGATCCCGGCACCGCCACCGCCGCCGCTCCCGGGGCCGGCCGCCCGGCCCTGCGGCGGCCGCTGCGCGAACACCGCCTCCCCGGGCCGGCCCCGCCGACCGCCCCGGTACTCACGCGGCACCCCGGCCAGGTCGGCGTGCGAGTAGCCGAGCCCGCCGGCGCCGAAGAGGCCGCCGAGCCCGGTGCCCTTGGAGTTCCCGCCGCCCTCCATGGCGGCCCCGCGCCCGCCGCCCTCGCCACAACCAACGGCTGCCGCAAAGCGCCGCCGTAAAGCGCCGCAAAGCGCCGCCCGGCCCCGCTGCTTTGCGGGTCGCCATGGCGACGGGGTGAGGCGCGCCGGGCGCCATCTTGCTCGAGCGCCGGGCCGCGCTCGCCGGACTCCGCTCGCTCCCGGCCCCGCCGCGCCCCCCGCGCCTTGGGAAGAGCCCGGCGTGCGGCACGGAGGATGCGGACGGGCGGAGCCGCTGCCGCAGCGTCGCGCCGTCCCCGGGGGGCGGGTGCTGGCCGGCCCCGGCGGGCAGGGCGGCCCCGCCGAGGATGAGCGCGGGCTGCGGGCGGGAACCCCCGCGGAAGAAAGCCCGGTCTGGCCCCGGCAGCCCCGGCGGCGGCTCCCAGGGAGAGCGGCAGGAGGGGCCCGGGGGCAGCAGCTCCGCCACCGCCGTGGGGAACAAAGGTTTGTAGCGGCCCCGGGGCGGCGGGAGCGGCCGGGCGCGGAGCGGGGCTCGCTGGCGGCCGTGCCGCCCCCGCCTCCTGCTGCCCGTGGGGTGCGGGACAGCGGCGGTGCCCGCGGAGCCCGGGCTGCGCTGAACCGGCCCCAGCTGGGAGCGCTGCCCGGCCCCCCCCCCCCCCCCCAGCCCGACCCGCCCGCTGGGGCTGGGCGAGAGCAGCAGGAGGTGACCGGGCCGGAGGCTCCGAGGCTCCGAGTCCCTCTCCGCCGCTCAGGGCGTCTCTGCCGGGCTGCTGCCGGCCCGGGCAGCGCTGGGGCCGCGTGTGCCTCTGCACGGAGCCTCCCCGCAGCTGCCCTTCCTCGTCCGGCTGGAATTGTCTCTGACTCCTCTTCCCGCTGCCAGCGTGTCCCCTGTGTCCCAGCCCCGTGGTGTGATCACTGCCCGTGCTTCCCCTTGCAGGATCTTTGCACCGCTTTTGTGCCTGATTCTTTGCAAGTTTCCACTCATAGTGCAAATCATCGACGAGAGGTGTGAGCCGCTAAAGGTAGCGTGTTCCGCAAGAGAGGGACAGATATTCCTGCGGGATAAAAGGCAGTCAGCGGGGTTGTGCCAGGCTGCCACACAGGCAGAGCCCAGAGCAGTGACAGGAGCTCACACCAGCCCGTGGCTGCCAGCTTGGAGCGCTGCTGGCCCCATGGGTGCGGTGGCTGCTCCTCCTGCCGCCCAACAGGGCTGTGTCGGCGAAGTTCCCACGTGACTCTCTTAGTTTTGTTTTCTCTTTGGAGCTAACGCTGTCAAAGTAAAATTTTAATGCACCTCTTTCAGAAATAGAAAGAAATGCATGGAAAGGGAAAAAGGGTCCAAACAGATTTGCTGTCATCTGCAGCTGATGAGTTAAACCTCACTAAGCCCTAACTAGCTTTAAGTAGAGGATAGTTTGGAGTTAGAGGTGTACACTGCTACAGAGTAAATGAGAATCTTCTGAAAATGAGGGTGTTTTCCTCAAAGGTAGATTTTAGGTGTGATTATTTGTTTTATTGGAATAGTTTCAGTTACCTTGAGTAGAAATAAATATGCCATAACCAAAAAAAGCAGCAAAGTCTGGTTCTGTTTACTGTGAGAATAAGCACGGGTTGTCTTTTTGTTGCCTCTTGTTCCCACCACCTTATCTGTAGCAAAAAGCCATGCTGGAAGGATGAAAGTGATGTGTGTTATGTTGGTTGGAGGGCCTATGTGGCTGCTCAGATGTTGAAGTTCAAACTAAAGCCATTTTGTTCTTTTCTGGCGCTGCTGCCATCGTTTCTATTTCTTGTGCTAATGAATAAGTATTTCTTCCTGAGCACAAGTTTACACCTCAAGAGGTAGTCAGCTGCCTTTGAAGAGGTATATTTGTCCCATGTTTTAACATGTCTCTTCAGGTTTTTGTGTTTGCTGGGTTTTTTTTGGCTGCTTACCTGTAGGCAATTTGGATTAACACTTCAAATGTTAGGAGAGGGTGAAATTTGCTAATCAGAATAACTACTAGATTTAAGTTTAGTGAGTCTTTGGAAATAAGAATATTTGCGCTGTTGTTTGTGCCATTACAGAATAACTGAAAATGATTTTAGTGTTTTTTGGAGATTACTTGTAAAACTTGTGGCATCCTCTGCTGAGGGTGTTTGAGAAGCAGCTGTGTAAGAGTGTTCAAGGCCTTGAATGTTAGGGAAAGTGTTTATGAAACAATGTCTCATAAGTAACCTCTGGCCTCAGCCATCTTTGTTACAAGTTACACAACCTCCGTTTGCTGGAGGCTGCAGAGACTTCCCATCCTCGGAATCAGAAGAGCCAGGCGTGATTTTGTGGCTTTGAAGTTCTGCAGAACTGTTGTTACAGTGAGGCACTCGAGCTGTTCCTTGCCCAGCTGAAAGCAGGCAGCAAACACCTGGCACGGTCAGCAGTGCCAGGGAGGTGCTGTCTCTTGGCAAGTGGAAAGAGAGGGAATTGTAGCTAGTTGCCAAATTTGCAGAATATCTTTAAATAACAACAAAACTAAATGCCCCTTATACTAATAAAGACTGTTTTCCAGTTTTGAAAGAATTGCTTTGAATTTTTTCTCCCCATTCCATCCCCAAGTCTCTGCATAATTAATTCACATGTTGCTGTTCTATTGACACCTTGTGTCACCTGCAGCAACACACAGATAAAAACTGAGGTGTTGGTAGAAAATCTGAAGAAATTGTGTCCTTCATTTTGTTGCTGTTTAGGAAAGTAAGTATTGAAAAGCTTTTCAAACTGTTTATGGATGGAGGAGAAAGGAAAAGTCCTTTCCTTTGTCACTTATAGGGTGTGCCATGCATTGAGCCTCATGTTTCACAGTATGCTACACACAAATAAAGTTCTTGGATGGGTCCTCAAAGGTGCCTTGTTGTTTCTTCTTTTTTGATTTTAAGTTATGTTATATTGCCTCTTTATTCCAAAATTCAGCAGAAGCTTTTGGGGCTCACTGTGGTGGTGACTAAAGGTAATGATGGGAGCTAGGAAGTTCAAGTTCCTTTGGTTTTTTCTTTGAATTCTACACATCCACTGTATGTTTTTAACCTTTTAACTGTATTAAAAAAAAAAAAAAAAGATTGGAAGAGAGAAATCCCACCACATACCATACCTGAAATTCATGAAGATTATTACAAAAGCTACAGCTGCTGACTGATGCAAATTAAATACTGCATCACATGTAGTTTTAATACTGCTAATGTATGGATGCTCCCTATAGTAGAGATGCTAATGAGGGTTTAATTGGAGGTGTTTTTATCTTCACCCAATACAAGTTATCTTTTTCATATGCAATGATGTTGCAGTTTTATCATGTTTCATGTAGTAACTGTGAACTGTGGTTTTCAGTTTGTAAACAGCAGACAATTACCAGTTGGTTGGAGAATAAAGGACCCAAGGCAACGGAGTCCAAAAGGTAAAAAGCACCACATAAACTTGTTCAGAAGGTGTGTTCTCTGAGGGGCCTGGTGGGAGCTGGGAGTGCAGGTTGCCAGTGCAGCTGGCTAAATGGAGGCAGCCCCAATTTCTGCTGCTTTCCTTGCCTTGGTGCATCCTCTTGAGTAATAAGCAGACACTTTCACTACAAACAGCTAACTAGTCCCCCTCCCATCCTCTCTAAACACCCAAGCCCAAACTTATTGCTGACATAGATTCCTGAAGCATGTCACTGTTTAGGTGAATAAATACATCTGCTCCTGCAAAGCAAAAGATGGGAACCTGGAGCAGGGAAAGGCAAATTGGGAGCGTTGCTTCCAGTGGCAGCCTAACAGTTGATCAATTCAGTTGTAATACCAGACTATGTCTTTGGTCAAATGCTGCTTTCATTTTTGTTTGACATAGGGCACTAGGACACAATTGCAGATTTGCACTGATGGTCCTGCAACCAACTCACTGTTGTTATTTTACAGACAAAAATCTGTTTTGGTTTGTCTCATTGGACTGCAAGTGTAGTTTAAAACATGTGCAGTTGGTTTGATTACAGCTAGAATTTACAGGTGTTCAAATGTACATTGAAGCTTTTTTTATGGAAGATGTTACAAGTTTTTGCTGCTGAATGATACCAGGTAAAGTTTGATATTTTCAACTATGTGGTCTGTCAGGAGCAGGGATTGCACGGCTGCCCTAAAGTTGTACTCCAAAGAGCTTCGCTGTCTGGTGCAGAGGAATATCAGATATTATTTTTCTGTAGTTGCAGTTGTAAATGTCCTGGTTCATTTTTCTTTGGTGTTTGTTAATAAATAGAGATCCAGGTCCATAGAAGTGCTAAAAATAGTTGGGAGGACTTGTGATAGTGATTAATAGAGAAGTATGCAGGACTAATTGCAGGCATACAGGTTCCACTAAATCAAGGATGTTAAGAGGATTCTTAAGGAAGAAATTAATTATTTCAGGTTTTTAAAATTCCCTTCAGAGTATTGCTCTTCTATGCCCTTCTCCATCCCTGCTGACAGATTAGAGCCTTGGCAACTTTAAATAGCAGATTTGATGTGTAAACATTTCATGTGCCTTTCTATTGCAGTAAACACTGCAATTTTAATTTAAGTTTGTGTTAGATGTAATTTCTCAAGTTGTCAGTAGATTTTGTGAGTACCTTTAAAGAGAAATTGAGATGGCAGCAGTATGAACTCTCATTTTTTCATCAAAATTTGCAGCAATAAATGCATACATGGGAAGCTAAATTATCATGAAATAAAGCCCTCTAAAATCCTTTTGTTTTTAAATAATCATCCTGTGGATGCAGTTCCAAGCTATCATCTCTCCTTATCCTGAGTGATCATTTAGAAGAGGATATGTTACCATTCATGGAGAAAGTTAATGCCTTCAGGAATCTATAGTCTATTAAAATGTCCAGTGGCTGAATTTGGGATGGTGTGGTAATTGTATCTTTTCTTAGTTAGTGTAAATGGGAAGCTGGGCAGTGACCAGAGTTCAGTGTGCTCAGTTTGCATTGGGAGTATACAGTAACAATACATTCAGGAGGAAATACTGTTCAGAGTGGTGTGTTCACCAAGAGTAGTCAGGGTTTTTTTAATATCCATGTGTCCTCTAAGTAATTTTCTTTATCAATACACTGACACATAAATTATGTGACACATAAAGTATGTAAATGCGAAATTAATTTCTGACATCTGGTCATGCAAAACTCAATTCATTTCCTTGTATTATCATTAGGAAATGTTTCTATCCTGCCCTGCCTTACATGAAGACAAATCAGGTTATTTTTTTCTTAAAAAACCTCCTGATTTAATGTAGCTTTTAATTTTTATTGGCAGTTTGAAATATATTTTACGCTTGAGCTTTTGTATGGAGTTTTTTTAAAGTCATGGGCTGTTTATAAAAGTGAGGAAGTAATAGGAGACTTTGGACTGCTGCAGCCTATTCTTTGATGAATTTGTAGCTCTGAGAGAATGGCCATAAAATCATTGATTTCCTTGCTCATTGTATTTAATGGATAAAAATAAAAGTTATGGAGGACTTTTTCACAACTTCTAGAGGTTTTTTTTCATCTGGAGAAAATAGCTAAATAATAGCTTCACAATGTTTAGATTGGAAGATAAGGAAATGAATGACTGGAATAGATGCCTGAAATAAGCAGCTGATTGATCATCCTTTGGAGACTTTAAATGGAAATGGATTGCTAGTGAGCTACAGTCCTCAGTGCAGTAAAACCTGTTGCTCCTGGTAGTGTTCACTTACAGAGTAGAATGAATAAAAATCTGTGCTTTCTGTTTGTTTATTATTGTCCCTTTAAAAAATATGCTCAGAAATTTCATTTGGAAATAAGGCATTGAATTCTCTTACTTCTTTTCCACAGCTTGCACAGCAAAATTAATAACAATACTGAAGCAAATCCTAAGATGACTTCCGTTAAAAAAGAGAACTTTTGTGAGAATGATGTGAAAAAGTTAGAGAATACTTGTCAGCAAAATAATGCAAAAATATCTGTGGAAGTTGGTGCAAAGCAAGTAAATTTGCCTCAGACAGGCAGCATGTGTAGCTGGGAGGCCGAGGAAAAAGATGCAGTCTTAGATACAGATCCTGTGAAGGGGCTGCAGTCTGCAGAGCTCTTTAAAAATGCCAACATTGATCAGATGCACAAAACTGGCAAGCAGAGGGGCTGTGAAGAAAGCAGTGCCACTTGGACTCAGAGGAAGGTGTCAGCAGGCCGGGCTTCAAAAGCAGGAAATTCCAAACCTTCAAAAGACATGGAGACAGATGGACAGGTGGCTTCATGCAATCCACAGAAGCTGAAGAGTTGCAATTCTGTCTGTTTAACGGGTGAGCAAGAGGAGGGGGATGTAGTTCCAGAAAGTCCACTTTCAGATGCTGGTTGTGATGCCTGTATATCTGATCTTGGAGGTCCTGAGAAACTGAGCAAATGTCAGAGCAGTTCAGGGGACTCACCTGCTTTTGAGAAAGAAAGTGAACCAGAGTCACCAATGGATGTGGACAATTCTAAAAATAGCTGCCATGGGTCAGAGGCTGATGAAGAAACAAGTCCCTTTCTGGATGAACGAGAGGAGATTAATATGTCAAAACCCATAAACAAATCTTTTAGAATTCAATATGGGGATGCTGAATTGGAGTCAAGGAAATCACGTTTTTCTGTCAAGGGCTGTGAAAGCTTTGAGGAAGTAGATAATTCTGTTAAAGAGGACACTCTGCATACAAAGGCACCTGGGATCTCCTCTGCTCCATCATCAGAATGCAAAGGTGCAAAACAGGGTGTGAAGAGAGACTCCAAAATCACTTCTCACTTCATGAGGATACCTAAAGTTGAGGAGAAAAGGTAGTGTTCTCTCTGCCTCTTTATCTGGTTTTTTCATGCTTGGAAATTTCCTCCTTGGTGATTGAGTTTCAGAGGCTGTATTGTATAAAGAGTTTTGCAAAATATATTTTAAGATACAAAGACAACAGATGTAAGATTGAAATAACTTATTTTTAATGGGGCTGTTTGTGGGAATTTTGAAGGATATATTTGTCCAGTGCAATTCTTAGAATTCTTATTAGTTTGATATGACAAAAATAGTGAATCTGTTTTGTTGAACTGTCAATGCTGTGATGCTTTAATTGAAATAGACATGGGAAAATTCACGTGTAGAGATGTTTGGGGTTTTGTGTTGATGTTTTTGGATTTGGGTGGGTTTTCTTGGTTTGTTTTGTTTGGCTCTATTCATAATTTGGGAGAGAGGACTGGTGATTACACTGCAGCAATAGGAACAGGAGCCCTGAGCATGACACAGGACTCTGCAGGCCAGGTGTTGTGGAAAGGAAAAAGGATAATCTCTGCTCCAAAGGTCTTAGATTTGAGTGGGAGCTGAGAAAGTGAATAAGTGTCTAAGGAGTGAGCAGAAACAAAAGGACTCTGTATTTTGGCATAACATGCAATTCTTTGACTTGACTCAAGTCCATCAAGTAGGGCTAGAAAGTCATTTTGCACATCTTTACTGGGGCATGGTCCATGGATAAACAGATCCTGTTGGGAAGGGGCATGGCTCTGCAGAGGAATACCCTGCTTTGCTAACCCACTGCAGTTCTGGGAAGGGTTTTGTCAGCCTGTAGAGAAGAGTGTTTTGGTGGAAATGAACTTGTGTGTCTTGGGGAGGGGAGGGTTGGTCGTGGTGGAAGTTCTCCCCAAATATAGCTTTGGCCCGAGGCTGCAGCAGAGGCTGGCAAATAAACTGACTGCCATAATTGTAACCCTGGGCTGGAAGTTTGTGTATTTTTCTATCATTTTTTTTTTCAGTGGAGATAAAATGTTTCAATGCATTGTATTTTAACAGCAGGAAAGAAAAGTGTGAATTCAAATCCCAGAGGCCAGGAAGGAAGGTTGCTAAATACACACCACCTCCTCTGCCGAGCAACAAGAAATGGTTTGGAACCCCGATTGAGGAGATGAGGAGGATGCCGGCGTGTGGGGCCCGGCTGCCCCACCTGCGACCCTCGGCCGCCCACACCGTCACCGTGAGGGTACTGTCAGGCATGCCTTGCATTGATACAGCCAAGTCCTGCCCCTAGTGTTCAGTCATGCATTGCTCCAGACACACTCCTGCCCCTAGAGTTCAGTAATGCATGCCTTGCATTGCTCCAGCCAAGTCCTGCCCCTAGAGTTCAGTCATGCATTGCTCCAGCCACACTCCTGCCTCTAGTGTTCAGTCATGTGAAATGCCACCTGTCTTGCCACTCCTTGCAAGTGATTTCCTGAAAATTGGCTTTTCTGGTGCACAAAATTAGGATAATGAGATTCAAATGAAAAGCAGGGTTTTGCTGCCTCTGTCTTGTTAGGGGCAAGTAGTTTTGTTTTGTGGGGGGTTGTGAGTTCTTCCTTGACTGAGTTGTAAAGTTTGAGAATTATAGATATGTCTACAAGTAAATTTGGTACTTCCAAAATTTTCGTGCTGTGTTTTCATTTTAATGTTATTTGGTTTGGGTTTAAGACATACGAAAAGCTCAAGATAGTCAAGATATGGAAAAGAAAAGGAATGAAACAGAATTTCTTGCTATTTTACCACTGCATTTTAAATAAAATCTGATAAGTTTTCCTTTAATCCTTTGGAGTAATATGCAATCCAAGTATTGTTGAAACAAAACGTGACTAGAAGGCTATGAGGTGATGGATAAATCCTGACCAAAAGAAAGGCACATTGAGTTTAAATACTTATTCTGAGAGACTTAATTCTGTTAGAGGGCTAAATAGCAAATTAAGTCTTTAAGAATGTGGTGTTCTTTTTTTTTTTTACTTTTCTGATGTTCTCTGGAGTAAACTTGAGACATTGCTCTAGCTATAGTGATTCCTCATCCCTTTCAGTTTTAGGTTAAAAGTACTGTTTCTGCATATAACTGTCATATTCACATTTTCTGAAAAATCCCTTCACCCAGGATTTTTTTCCTGGGAAGCAGAGAAGCCTCAGAGAAAAATGTAAACAAATATTATCTCATTTGCTTCTCCTGTGTTTTGCTCCTGTGGAATGTGTTTGGAGATTGTTTACCCACAGGTGATTGTTTCATTGGGTTCTGCTGTGAGTTGTTTTCACTCTTTGGCCAATCAGGGCCAAGCTGTGTCAGGACTCTGGAGAGAGTCATGAGTTTTCATTATTATTTTTTTAGCCTTCTGTGAGTATCCTTTCTGTATTCTTTAGTATAGTTTAGTATAGTATTCTTTAATATAGTATCATAAAATAATAAATTGGCCTTCTGAGAACATGGAGTCAGATTCATCATTCCTCTCTGCCATGGGGCACCCTGCTAACACGATATATAACTATGGCTACATTTGTGACTACATTTTGAAAATACTTGGATGAAAATGTGTAGATACTTAAATTGATGAATGAGGAAATCTTTAGCTGGTGATTGGAGATACAGTAAGTAATTGATTATATTGCTTTATTTGAGTGTGTTAGGGTGGTGTCCTTTTCAACAAGTGTAATGTAAGATTAACAGGTGGATTTTTTTCTGAGTAGCTGTCATGTGATCAGTTTGTAGCTTTCCCCTTTCCAAAAAGGATGGCTGTAGATGAGAGCTTTTTAAACTGTGTTTTTGCTTAGTTTTTATTTCTTCCACTTAAAAACTTGAAAGTAGAGTCTGATTTTTTTCCCCCTGTCCTTTTGTGTTACAGGTAGATCTTCTGAGGGAAGGAGAGGTACCTAAACCTTTTCCAACTCACTACAAAGATCTGTGGGACAACAAGCATGTTAAAATGCCCTGCTCAGAACAAAATTTATACCCTGTAGAGGATGAGGTAAGATTAAGTATTTACAGTTGTGTGATCAAATAAGTTTGTTTCCACATAGATGAGTTTTCAGTTTACTGAATTTGCTCAATTGTCAGACTGACTATGGAATTAGAAAATCAAGTCTGAAAAACTGGATTTTGGGTCATGATGCTTCAGACAGAGCAGAAGACTTTTTTTTTTTTTGCTGGTAATTATTTTACATAGCCAATGATTTGATGATATATATATATATATTTCTATACTTATATGGAGTTTAAACTTGAACTCCTTATAAATACTATATTTATTTACTTACATATTTGTATGTTATCTATTATGTGTGTGTGAAGCAATTTGCAATTTCAACACATGTGAATGAATTTGTAAGCACAGTTTGATTATAATACTCTGTCAGGTATTGCTGATAGTGAGGTGTATCTGTTGTTGTTGTGCTAAAACAATTGCAGAGATTAGCCCTGCATACTTGTTGGTCTGGTAATTCTTTTCACTGCTTGAGACTTAAACATACCCACTGAAGTACTTCAGACTAGGGTGAATGTAATCAGCAAATGTGTCCTGTAGTAAAAACTCTATAATGATTATTGATACTTGACTCAGAAACAAAGAATTCTTATAGCCTCTATTAAATACACTTAGTCTTTTCTCTTATCAATTTTACAAATGACAGTAAATCTGTCTTTATGTTTTGAATAATTTAATTTGACTTTATTTTGGGCTTTTACTTTAAAGAATGGAGATAGAACGGCTGGAAGTCGATGGGAACTAATCCAAACTGCCTTACTTAACAAATTTACCTGCTCACATGATTTGAAGGTAAGCCTGTCAGTTTGAAATCAAGTCTATCTGCATATAAATACATTCAGGTTGTCTGTGTACTACCAGTGATTCTGGCTTGGTTCTATTTGTTTAATGACTTAGAAAAATATGAAAAATTCTCTGCTGTTCAAGGGATTTCTTAAGAATGAAGATTCTTAATGAGGACTAAGTGTTACCAGTGAATTTATTCAGATTATTTGAATGAATTGCCATTTTTAGGTCTACACAAAACTGTGTTTGTCCAGCAGTATATCCTAGTCTGTGGTGAACATAGCATGAGGGTTTTGAGTAGCCAGATGGTTGGGGATGCACAAGTGAGAGCTGGAAATAGTAACTCCTCGCATCAGTTCACTCCACTGAAATCACAGTTCAAGCTGCTGACAAAAATCTGTAGATTTTGGAGACTAATGGCTCTTGATAACTTTTACATTTATGTTGGCACGAAGTCTTACAGTAACATGAATACTGATTTGGAGCAGCTTAGAGTTGCTATTATGGTTTTTTGGTGAAGAATAATGTAATTTAGGTTATGCCTGAAAGGCAGGGAAGGAGGAGGATGCTATAGATAAACTTTAAATGAACAAATAGACCTTCCCCAGCAACTGAAGAAACTTCCTTTGATGATATTTTATTAGTTTTTTTTTTCTTGTGACTTTTTTAAGGGTGTTGTTGTTTTAAAGAGTCTATTTAATTTGCTGTGGTTCTGATTTTTTAAGTTCCTAAACTGGTACAACTTCTGCTATATTGCTTTTATACCTTAAATAACTTTTATTGGTACTGTTAAAAGAGCAAGCATGGGATGGGAAACATTTATGTTGTTTGTTGGGAGATATGCCTTATCTTATTTTGTGTTAGGAGAAAAAAACCCCATAGACTGAAGCTTATTAATTGCTAAAGCCAAACCAGAGAGTTCAGTATCAAGGATTTTCTCTATATTAATAGAGCAAATTAAGTGTTCTGGATTTTGGTAGGCTCTGAGGAAGGTTTTAGCCACCAGATGGTGCTGCTCCTTCAAAAAGGAAATTTCCTAAAATGTTTTTTTTCTTCCATTAATAATTAGCTCTGTTTTGTGGTGCTTCTTCCTTAGGAGGCCATATTGAGGTACAATGTTGCTTATTCCAAGAAATGGGACTTCACAGCTCTTACTGACTTCTGTGAGAAGGTAAAACAAGTTGATTTAAAATAGGAAGAAAAGTAATATGAAAGTGACTATTTTGCCTATATGTCTCAATGCTTTTAGCATTATTTCCATTTTCAAGAGTAAAAGTTTCCAGTTGTCAGATATCTAAGTGAGCAGCTATTTAGCTGGTAATTTCAGCTGAAACAATAATTATATGTTATAAACTGACTTAATTTTAAATTTTTACATGTAATTTGGTTTCTTCAGTAATGTCTAACCTTCCTGAGGGTAAGGTGAGAAATGCCCTTTTCCTGGTTTATGACAACCAGATTTATTAAGAAATCATATTAATATTTCCAGTGTAATTTTTTTTGTTTTAAAAAGTGTTGGTTTTTTTGGTTTTTTTTTTGTAAAACTTTAATGTTTTATTGCAGTGGTGTTTGTATAGACTGTGCTTTGCTGGTATAGCAGGAAAATTTTGCTGTTTGGTGAGGTGGTGAATTTAAACTGTAGAGCCTTTGAAAGACTGGGATGGATTTTATACTTTCAAGTATTAGGTATTTGTACTTTCATGGGGAGGATGGAAAAGGGAGATGAATAGTAGGTCTCAAATGCAAGTTGGGCTAATATTAATGTACATCCTGAATGACACTTAGAAACTATGGTAAATAGGGTAAATTAAAGCATAATGAAAGGTTAAATGAGATGCAGTATTGTTCTCTTGTTGTTTTTTTCTTCAGTACTTCAGAAGTACTTCTAAAACACACATACTTGTTTTTGTGGGAGGGGCTGCTAAGATCTATTAAGACTCAGTGGAAACTAGATTTGATTTGAAGTGAATTTTGTTTGTTATGTATGTGAATAGATGTTTGCTGAGGCTGTGTGATCAGAGGAGCTGTTCTGTTCTCTCTGTTGCCTGTCTCCATTGCTCTTTCAAAGAATGAATTTTCATTTGCATGCAGCACAGTATTACTACTGCTGACAAAAGGCACCTATAAAAATCCCAGTGGTATCATACTTGCAAGCCATGAGAGCTGCTCTGCTCACCCATCTTGCAGATTTAGTGCTCCCCCCTCTCATCTCTGGGGTCCCTGACATGGCTCCATGGTAGAGGCTGTGGGCAGTCAGTGTCTGCTCCTATTGACTCTCCTGCTGAGCAAAATTAACTTGGCCTGTTGGGTAACTCCTGTGTTACTGAAGTATGCATACTTAAATTAGAATATTTTAAAGTATGAGTGCTGCTCAGTTAAAAATCTGACTCAGGAACAGAACAGATTTACATCATATTGCTACAAGCACAACTGAGCTTGTCCTGATGTGTTCACAGTGTGCATTTGGGATTTTGGGAACTCTGGGTGATTAGATTCAGAGCTCATCAGCCAGAGAGCGTAAGTAATGCCAGCTGTCTCCAGAGGAGGGGGAACAATAGGGAAATAAACTGAGGATCAGGCATCCATCTTTCATGAGGATGAAAAGGAAATGTCTGTATCCTGGGAATGATGATTTGTGTGGTTCTCAGATGAAGGGTGGAGATCTGTTTCATACACAGATTTTCAGCCAAGTTAAAAGAGTGTGCAGCAGTATTTTAAATAAGAAACAGTGAAGAGCTTGTGACAGAGTTGCCTCTTGTAGACCACAGGAGCAAAAGCAAGCCCTGGGTTGCTTTGTTGAATATATTGAGTTTACAGGACATGTGGAGGGGATAGATTTTGCAGAGAAATGCTTGAATTTTTCCATTATTAAGGGATGTGTGAACTTTCCAAATTTTGTAAACAAACAAGGCATCTGCTTTCAAAGAATGCTTGCAGTCTAAGTGAGCAGCTCTTGTGTGAAAGTTGACATCCTCTGTGGAAATGACCTAAATATACTGGCTATAGTGAGCTGTAGTGCTTTTGAATTTATTGTATTTATGAGTTAATGATTAAGGGCTTACCACTAGCCTGTGTATTTTCTGGTTTATCCTTTGATTTTGAGGGTACAGAGGAGCTGTTTCAGGTTTACCCAGCCAAGGTTGAGGGGGTTGGTTAAAAGGAAAGCTGGTCTGAGTAATCAGCCCAAAGGGAGTGGCAGCAGCTCAACAGATGTGGTCACAAATATATCTTAAAAGAAAAAGATCAAAAGAGAGTCTGTGATTGTCAGATATGTATTTATATTGTTGGGCACTATTGACTTTCAGTGCCTGCTTAACCAAGGATTTTGTAGTGTGATTTAGAAGGGAGCTGTGTCTGTAAATCTAGTGGTGTCTGTTTGGAGGATTATTCAGATATTACTTCAGTAGGTCTGTGTTTGGTAATAAAGTGCCTTTTGTTATTTTATCTTCTGCTTATGGGCACAGCTCATCTTATCTATTAATCTCTTAAATACTCTCATATCAGTCTTGCACTGGGCTTCCTATTTTAGGTAGCTCCTTGCAAGTTACACTGTCAAAATATGCTTTATTTTTAAACACTACTTTGTAAGATTCAAGTCAATTTCCTTATAATAACAATAATTACCAGTTTATTTGGCTTAGGTTTATTTTCCCTTAAGATGAAAGCACTCTCAGCTTTCTTAACTAATAGGAAATAAATATCATGTACGTGAGCCAAGATTTTTTTCGGAACAGCACAGCCTGCAAGTTCTGCAGTTTGGTCAAGGTGTTGCCAGAAGAGGGAGCCCTCACACTTTCCAAAGGATTCTCTTGAATCTCAGTTAATGTGTGGAAGTATAATTCCTGTTTGTACAGTGAGGTAAATTGGGATACTTGGATTCCTTTCTGTTTCTTTTGACAATTTCATAGAACTTGTATATAGAACATAGAACTTGCTCATAGAACAGTGTATGTAAAGATCTTGGTGGCTGTTTACTTCAGACATCTGACTCTTTTGCTGTTCTCTTCAGAATTTCCACAGTGTTGTATTCATTTGTTTTGCCATCTGTCTGTTGATATTGGCATACATGCTTAGAATTTCTTCAAATTATTACTTTGTGGATGAAAATTATTACCTCCAATATTTTTCTTTGTACGTGCAAAATTCTTGTCACTTGGAAATCATCCTTACATCTGATTTCCCAGAACTTACCTAGAAGCCAGGAAAGAGTAAGCAACAAGCAGAAAAGGAAATGTGAGGAAACCACTATGGATGGAGCTGTACTGGAGCCCACAATGTGTTACAGATGAGCTTTATTTCTGGGAGTGATGATGGCTGGGTATTAATTACATGCTTTTGCTCAATGGTGCTATGCACTGTGGTAATTTTTATTTCTCTTTCTTCTGGATTTGCCATTCCACTTCCAGGCAAAAACAAGTTATTTTTCTTTTTCCCAAGTGCATGAAATAACAAGTCTAGTTAGGTCACTCAGGACTTACACCTTAAACTAATCTGTGACTACAGCAACTTGATCTAAAGGGAATAGTAGGGCTCTGTCATTTAAGAGAATTGCACGGTTTGCTGCTTTAGATTGGGTCTCCTTGTGCTGGACATGCTTTGGTTCTATTATATACTTTAAAGTCTCTTAGAGCTTAAGCATAATTCTTGTCAATGAACTCTTCCTCTTATTGCTTGCCTCCGTCCTGCCCTTTCAGGAACAGAGGAGTGTTAAAATCTGAAAATGGCACAGGGCAAAGATTGAGTTTAGGTAAATTTGTGTGGCATAGGCAGTGATTGTCTCTGAGCTGCTGCAGCTGGGCTGACAAATGGATCACAATACCTCTTGCAGGTTCAATACAGTGGATCCATAACTATATTTTGTTTGTCTGGAGTCTTTGGTCATTTTGGTGGAAAGTTTAGGAAGTGGAGAAGATACAGGGAGAGGAGTCAGGGGTGATACAAAGGTATGTAATAGTTTCCATATGAGAAATGTCTAAATAAGTGAGGATCTAAGACCTTTTTGTCTTAGTTGAGGGGCATGAGTAATGGGTGTAACAGTGCTGTGCAAAAGAAATGTAAGAGAGGATGAAGAGGAAATGGCTGTCCATTCTTCTAGCACAGCAGTTAAGGGACACCAGATGAGTGTTCTTAGTAGGTAAAGGTTCCAACACCAGACAAAAGTACTTACTGAGATACTGAATGCTGTGGAACCCCTTGTCAGGGGAGCTAGAGGATGCTGTGGCCTTACTTCAGGTTTTGAAGGCATTTGGAGAAATTGCTTTTAGAAAGATCTCATTGACACCCACAGAGGGCTCTGGGAATTGCTGGTACTGATTACTGCAAATGAGGAAGTGCTGCTGATTACCTGTGCTTCTTGCTGTTAGACTTTCCCAGGAATCCTTTGCTGCTGTGCTTTCATTCTGCTGTTGTTCTGTTGTACATGGAACTATTGTCCATTTTATATTCTTATGGCTTGGCTGGATTGAAGCTGAGAGTTGAGACAAGTGGCCTTGTCATGCAGGGTCTGTTGTTGCATAGTGTGCAATATGAGATGTTGCTGACAGAAAGGTATGGCATCTATACAATAGACTAAGAGGCAAGAACACTAAAGGTCATTGACATTTTAAATGCTTGAATCACTTAAGCCACTTATGCCTTTCAAAATTTGCTTTTCCAGGCTCTCTTTAAACCCTTGGTGCCTACTTGACTCAAGTAGGAATTCTTAGAGGGGATATGCTATCAGTATTTTTACAAAGACACTCTTCACTGTGTAATACTCAATTTCCAACTGTTAGATTTGATTCTAGTATAAAGAAAACTGTGTCTGTGTCTGCAGTGCCTGTGCAAGGATGCCTTGTGGTCTTTTTGTCTTTTGGGAAAGCTGTTGAAGCCAATCAGTCAATTTAATGGCCAGTAATTGCATATTTGCTGTTGATTCCCATGCAAATTCAGCATCCAGGAAATTCTTTTATATTACAAAAGAAGCTGTATAATTTTTACTTTTAGATTTTTAATGAGATTAAAAGAAAAATGATAGTGATGTCTAAAAAGACCAGTCTCTTCCCTTCTTTATGTTTAATTACAGAGAAGAACCTTCAGCATGAGGGAAGAATTTACCAGACTGCTTTCTCTGTCCTCTTCTTTCTCCTTTTCCAGTCAAGCGTGAGGTCACTGGCTTTAGCCTCCAAACTG